ATGATATAAAACAGTCGATTGGGAACCCAAATAATATCACTTCAAGTTATAGAATGACTTTACAAAAACAAAAAGATTGGTCCTACTCGTTCCTCTCAATGACAGATAAGAACCTATGATAAGCAGTGATCATTTAGACATACCATATTCTTTGCTTCACAACAGCAACAGACCTGTAGAAAGAAACTGAAGATGACAATCAAACAATATGATAATGTGAACCAGTTTTTTTTCTCATCAAAAATTTGTACATATTATGACAACACCTGCAATTTCCTGAGTTCATGGGGCTTTTTGACATCACTACCTGAGCTTGCTACTATTAGCAACCAAAGGTAAAAAAGATAAAACAATCCAAATCAACTTATGCCCTTGGGAAACCCACGTTATCCAACCCTGAGTTGCCAATTATGTCTTTGGCCAGAATGGCAGCCAAGGGAAATAGAGAGAGAGCTTCTAAACCAACAAAATATTAATTTTGGATAATCTTAAATCACAACCTAAAGAGAAAAAAAAACAGAATTGAGAGAGTTAGCTTTAACATAGAAAGAACATTTCTTTGAAAGACGGTATCACTCTTACCATGGGTGAGTTTCATTCGCTGGGATATAAATCAACACGATAGTCTTCAAACTATAATGTGAAGCATTATCTTTAACAACAATAATTTCAAGGGACCATAAAGAAAGGCGTGACCCAAGTTGAGTAGATGTCACTAATTTTGAAAAGCTTCAAAGAAGATCCCTTTGAAATTGATATTGTTCAAGAACAAGAAAGAACAATGTGATCATGTTATTTCAAGGAAAAAGATGTCACTAAAGAAAGATACCAATCTCCTTAAAAAACTGTATTTTATTTGTGAAACTGTATTCTCAGCATATCACAAATTAAACTGTTGGCTGTGGCATCACCTCCTCTTGGAAAACCTCTCCAATCTTTCCTCTTGGTAAACAAGCTCAATAAACACCGCAACACCAAAGAAGCAATCGGTTTACTGTAGGATAATCGAGGTAAGGAAACAGGAAATGACTTCTAGTTAATATTGAACCAATGGAAAATCAATGCCTCTTAGATCACTGTGCAACATCATTCCTGCAGTCTTAAACAAAACCATGTGCATTACAGCGGAAGGATGCGTTTGGTAGAGCAACAGTGGAATAACTATCAAACATATAATGGATGAAACAAGACTTAGGTTTGAGAAAATAAGGATGTTTTTGGATAGGGAGAAGCAGGTTGGATCAACCCTTTATGAAAAACAGCATTAGACACAACTATTGATGTCCTAGTCCAGGATTTTGCAGCAGTTAAAGCAAGCTCTGATCGCTTAACAACTAAAACCAAAACCCAAATACACAAAAACTACAAGGGGAATGTGAGAAGGAGAAAGAAAGAAGGCGGCGACACATTACAGGGATGGTCAAATTTTAGGCCCAATACCAAACACACTTTAATCCAAAATAGAACAAAAACAAATCATAGACAAGGACAAGTGAATCCACCTTCTCTATGTGGTGGTGATGATATAAAATATCGTGCATTGCCAGCAACAAACAAATATTGGTGAAATATGTATTCAATCATTTTCATCCTGCTTTATAAAAGTGTACAATAGATTGGATAGTAATACAATAAGTTAAACCCATTACGTTGCAGAATAGTCAACTCTTCTATAAACACACACTAATACACAAAAAAAAAACACACAAACTATTACACCAAAACACATACTAATACCAAGGATCAAATATCGTTTTGAAATGGCCGAAACATTTTCGTTCACAAGGAGGGCAAAACGATTCAGTGATTGAATCGATATTCAAATGTTTCAAGTTGTTTAAGTATGTTTCTACCAATACTTCTAAATATTTCAAAATGTTTCAAGATGTTTGATATATTTAGACCAATGCTTGGAAATGTTTTTAACATAAATTCCCAAATTTTTTATTCGTTTCTATTATGTTTCCAAAATGTTTCTATTTTTAGATGATCAAAACCAGGTGCCGAAATGATATTTTGATCTTTGACTAATACATTAAAAAATACAAACTAACACACTAATGAACTAAAAAACACACACTAATACACCAAAACACAAAATAATGCGCGCACACAAAAAAATAAACTCCAACACACCAAAACACGCACACAAATACTAAAAATACACAAAAATATACACAATAATACATCAAAACACACACACACACTAATACTCAAAACACACCCACAATAATACACCAAAACAATACACAATAAACAAACACATACACACACTAATAGACCAAACACACACAACCATACACTCTAATACACCGAAACAAACACAAAGACACACAAAAATGCACACACTAACATATCAAAATAAACAAATACACAAAAATACACATACTAATACTAATAAGCTGAAACACAAACACACACATGACCACACACTAACACTCCAAAACACACACACCCACTAATACATCAACACACACTAATATATCATAACAAACACAAACATACATCAAAAACACACACATACTAATACATCAAGCTACACATATGCACAATAATACACCAAAACACGCACACACTACCACAACAAACACACACACTAACACATTAAAATATAGACCTATACACCAAAACAAACACACACCCACTAATACACCAACACACACTAATATATCATAACAAACACACAATCATACATCAAAAACACACACTAATATATCATAACAAACACACAAACATACATAAAAAACACACAAATACTAATACACCAAACCAAACTACACATACGCACAATAATACACCAAAACACACACACTAACACATTAAAAATATTAACCTATACACCAAAACAGACATACACACACCCACTAATACACCAACACACACTAATATATCATAACAAACACACATACATTAATACATCAAAAACACACACACATACTAATATACCAAATTACACATATGCACAATAATGCACCAAAACACACACACACTAACACATCAAAAATATAGACATATACACCAAAACAAACACATACACACACTAATATACCAATACACCCCCTCACCCGCTAAAACACTAAAAACACATACTAAGAGCGTCTCTAACCCTGACTCAAATTTAAATTCAAACTTAAATTTGAGTAAAAAACCCAAAAAACTTACTTCAACCTTTTACTCAAGCTATTGACCAAAAAAAACATTTTACCATATCAAGAGAGACTTATTTTTTTACTCAATCAAGGGAGACTCAAATCTTTACCTAAATTTTTAATGGTGAGATTTTATCATCTTTTAAAGATCCAATTGTCATCTTTACTCTCTTTTAAATTTAGGTTTGCACTCATTTAAATTTTGATTTTTCCTTCTTTAAATTTAAATTTGTCCATTAGAGCCATACACAAATATGCAAATATATCAAAACACATACATTATATATTAAAAATACATACACACTAATACATCAAAACACACACACACTATAATACACCCAAAAAACATACAAATATATAAATTCAACAAAATATACACATAGGAACACTAATACACCAAAGACACACACATATACACGAATACATCAAACAAACACACTAATACACCAAAAAGCACACACTAATAAATCAAAACACAAACTAATACACAAAAATGCAAACAAAAAATGTGCAATATACTACCATACACTAAGACAATCTACAAAAATTCAGATAGAATATGTGTCAAGTACAAACAAAAACTCACAGATCAAAACTCTTTTTTCTTTAATTCTTTGTCAACCCCACTCCTATCACTCACCCACAACAGTACATTTCATGGGACTGATCGTTCAGATTGCCTTTGAATCCCAGTTTGATTCTCTCTCTCCCCCCCCCCCTCTAGTTTAGGATTTGGGGTTTGTTATCTTAGCTTTGTAGTGACCTTCAATTATCACTCATTCCTATATGAAAGGTCAAAGATATGAAAACATACTGCAAAAAAAAGGTAAAACTACAAAATTTTGTAATTATTAGAGTCCCTAGAATATCAATTGAAATATTTGAATTTTGTTTTCAATTCTCTATGCAGTCATTCACATTTTAGTGTTAGACTATTAAAACTCTAAATGCTTAAGCTATTAAAGGAATTAATGCAATATATACATCAAGCTCTTGACACAATCCCTCATGTGAGACTTCCATTCACGTGGGTAAAGGCATAAAATCAGGTGTGTCAATATGAACACATATAACATAAACTTGGTGCATGAATTTTGAACCCAAAACGTCAACTTAATATTTTCAAGAAAAAACCCTCAATATTCTGGGAAAAAAAAATATATGCAATGCATATCAAGCTAGAAACAATAAGATAAAACTTTCCATGATCGTGTTTTGTTTTCTTTTTGTTTGATATAGCATTTGAAGCTATAATTCCTCATCTCTAGAATGGAACAACTAGAGCAAAAAAGAAACTTCACCACATGGGATGTCATATATGGGATCACTTTGTTGTACTCTATATCCATCTGTCAAAAGTTTGCACCGGAGATAGTCCCTCGCACTATTGAATTATGATCCCTCATTGAAGGAGAACGAAAGATTGAAGTCGTATGTCATCTAATTTGTACTGGCAGTTTTGTTATTGGAAATGGAAAGCTAATATGTAAGAAAACTATAACCTAAGAAAATAATTAGGCCTTGAATGAAATGAAATTGAATATACATATATGAGAAGGGATCATTACCATAAATCAAGATAATTGGGCATTAGTGCAAGAAAGCCTCATAATTGGGTAAAGATGGATGGAGCTAACCCAATACAGATCTTACCCTAAGCCAAGCTTGGCTTCACAAATTTCTATAAGACTCAAGCCCTCAAGCCCATCCTACTAGAGGCAGGGCATGATACTCAAGCAATCGAGCCAATGGGCATATGCAAAGGTTCCATAACTCTTCTTTTTCTATTATTTGGTAAAAAAAAGCACACTATCAATGTGAAGACCTCATGCAACAAATTATTCACAAATATTAAAGAATCACCTTCACATCATCGGTAAAAGTTATAGATGCAATGAAACGCCCATTTGGAGATATCGCCGTCATGGTGTTTTTGAGATGATTTGTATCAACATTACCCACAATCTTCCCAGTTTCCCATGACAAAGTGTGATATCGGTCCCTAAACAATAAAGAAATTGGCACTCCACTCAAAATGAACAAAAATACTTTAGAAAAATCTAAAGCACAAAACTTTTACATAAAAACCCACTTAATGCAAGAAAGAAGGTAAAAGGTGGCTAATTAAAGGGAGATAATAGGGTGCAACTTACAAACTACCAATTCAGTTGAGAACAAGTCCGGCCAAATAATTACCCTATTAATAACTGGATTTTTTATTGACAGGAGTTAACAAAGTGTCTTGTCAAATAAATTTGGGCATAGTTAGGAATAAGACCAATGGAGTAGAATCAATTAGATTTATTTTGAACTTGCACAGAAAAATAAAATTCCCAGTCTTCTCTCAATGATTCATAACCAAAAATTAAACGCTCCACCAACAGATTTATTTAATTAAGTTACAGAAGTTTAAAACAATATGACAAGATGAATTCATATACCTTCTAAGCTCATTGCGATGATTGTACTGCCATCAGCATTGCCATAAGTTGCTGTAGTTCCAACTAGAGGGATTATAGCTTTTTTATTGTGGACTTCATAATGCTGCCACTTAATTTCAGGGAGAGGAAGCTTGGGCCAAAAGTTTTGGGCTTTTCTTCCCCATACATGTATAAAGAAGAACCATAAAGAGCTTGGGAAGCCACAACTACAGAAGATGTGGCGTCAACAAATGCAACTGCTATTGGATAACCTACAGCAGGCAAATTAATTCTTAGAAATCTGCCAAAAATTCAATAGGTTAGAATAGTGAAATGGAGAAAAAACTAGGCATGGGCAAAATTGAGAAAGTAAATGGTCAAATATCAGAGCATTTCCCTATTTTGCAAGATCAAATTTAGTGTCTAAGACCGCTTTCTTTGTGTATGTGAAAGTGGACAGCAATCATTTAAACAAATAGAAATAAAACAAGAAAAATCACACACTTATACGAATATCCAGAGGACAACGATAAAAAATAATTGATATTGCTTATCGATAAAAGTGGTAGCATCAAAGTGAATATATTGAGCATTTTAATTTTCCGGTATGCAATGCAACCACTCGAGGGTGGATTGAGCGACCAAAATACTCTCCTATTGAACAACATTCAGATTTTACACAACAACATTAGTCTTGAAACAATTATAACTTCAAGAAATGAAAGAAAAAAGTTCCCAAAAAAATAGTTGAACAGATATTCTAATTGAATGACTTAAAATAAAGATTGAGTTTAATCAAGAACAAAAGAGGTAATCAAGTTGACTCAAGTACACACAACTACAAGGAAAAATCTAACTAAACAAAGTTGATTGAGCATTGAGCAAAGATGTCATATAACAAAAGAAGAACAAGTAAAACACAAAGGAGATAAACAGAAAAATATGAGAGAGACAGAGAAAGGGAACTTGCAAAATTATGAGAGAGAGAGAGAGAGAACTTACAGAATTGAAAGCCCAAGCAATGTCATTTCAAGTTGTAGATTGACTTTCGGCTAACAAACGAAAAATGATCTCTATCATTCCTTCCAATTACAGATGAGAACATATTCCAGCCTTCAGTTTGATCTTTGTTCCAAGAAAGCATCTAAACTGTATTTGAAGAGATCAAACAAGACAATCAAGTTATTTGATTACGTGAATCACTTACGGATTTGAAAATATTTTTCTCATCAAAGAAATGAGTAATTATGATAAAGAATCATTTGCCTTCCTACCTGAATGTTGCAGCATATTGGCAACTGAATGGAAACCGAAACTCTCTCGCTCTCTGAGTTGCCAATTATGTCTACATAGATAGAAGACAGCAACGCAGAAAGACAGGGAAGGGGCTTCTAAGCTAGCAAAAAATTGATTCTGCATCATGTTAAATCCCAATATCCAAGAGTAGAGAGGAATGCAACTGAAATAATTCATGCATGATCTTATGTAATAAAAACTAACTCATGCATGCCACAATTAGAACTTTTAACTTTAATTCCATGCACAAGTTTGAGCGAGCAAAATACTCTCCTATTGAAAAGCATTCAGATTTTACACGACAACATTAGTCTTGAAACAACTATAACTTCAAGAAACGAAAGAATGATGTGACCCAAAAAAATAGTTGAATGGACGTGATAATTGAATGACTTAAAAGAAAGATTGGTTGAGTTCAATACTGCTAACGATTTATCAAGAAAAGAGGTAATCAAGTTGACTCAAGTACACACAACTACGAGGAAAAATCTGACTAAACAAAGTTGATTGAGCATTGAACAAAGATGTCATATAACAAAAAAATAAGAACAAGTAAAACACAGGAGATAAACAGTAAAATATGAGAGACAAAGAAATGGAACTTAAAAAATTATGTGTATGTGTATAGATAGATAGAGAGAGAGAGAGAGAGAGAGAGAGAGAGAGCTTACAGAATTGAGGCGCTAAATGCTTCTTTCTGAACGTCAGAACCACAGAAACTAAGAGTGTGTTTCTGTGCTACAAAGCATATGTTGCATCCAAAGTTATAAATCCAAACATTGGATGTGTGCAATTAACCCAATCCAAACTAGCATAGAGTTTTCAATTAACCCAGGTTATCATTCTGAGTGTATAGAATTTGACCAAAAGAAGAAGAAATTCATTCCCTTCTGACCTCCGTCCTCTAGATCTAGATAAATTAGGATTGATCAAAGGCTAACCCAACAGAAAACAAGGAAAGAACAGAGAGAAAGGTTCACGTTATCATGTGCCATGCACCAATAGTCACCATTTGAAATGAGGGCATCTTTTTAACATCAAATGAAATAAGGTTGTTCAAAAGGATCATCAAGGTATGCACACTTCTGATGCTACCACAGTAACGGAAAGCCTCTAATCCATTTCAAGACCCTTGTCCAGTTTGATGTTAAAACGCTCTCAGATGGCAGAGACCACCATTAGACCCACACCACAGAAAAACTAGTAGGACAAAACTTAACACCTCAATTAAAAGGTTTGCTCCAGATAGAGGCCTGTTACAATGTGCAGCATTGGATAGCTGAGAGCCCAAAGAAATGCATAGAAGGGAAGGCTGCTAACTAACAGTGAAAATTTTGAAAATGAGAAGGCTACTAACTAAGAGAGTCTTGATTTCTTGTATTTTGTGTGCTCTCCCGCTACCTCAAAACTCCTATCTGCAGTGGTCATTAACATCTCTAGGCATGATTAGACAAAAAAAATTCCATTGCCTTCCATCCTAAAAACATGTGAATCACAAAAACCAGACACACACTAATACACAAAAAAATAAAAAAACTATTACACTAAAACACATACTTCTACCAAAGATCAACATATTGTTTCAAAGTGGCCGAAACGTTTTCATTTCCAAGGAGACCGGAAGGAATCAGTGAATTGAATCGAAATTCTAATGTTTCGAGTTGTTTAAGTATGTTCCCACCAATGTTTCGGAATGTTTCAATTTGTTTAAATATATTTAAACCAATGCTTTGAAATGTTTTTAAAATAAATTCCCAAATTTTTATTAGTTTATATTATGTTTCCAAAACGTTTCCAAAATATCAATTCACCGAAATGATATTTTGATCCTTAACCAATACATCAAAAAATACAACTAACACAAACACACAATAATACACCAAAAAATACACACTAATACACCAAAAGTTCCAAATCACAAAAAAATATGCACACAAAAAAATAAATAAAAATGTAAACTCAACACACTGAAATACACAAAAATATATACAGTAATACATCAAAACACACACACTAATACTCAAAACACACCCACAATAATACACCAAAAAAATACACAATAAACAAACACACTAATACACCAAACACACACAACCATACACATTCTAATACACCAAAACAAACACAAAGGCACACAAAAATGCACACACTAACATATCGAAACAACCAAATACACAAATATATATACTAATAAGATGAAACACACACACTAATACTCCAAAACACTCACACACAAACATACACAAAAAACACACATATTTATTAATACACCAAACTACACATACGCACAAGAATACACCAAAACACATGCACTAACACATCAAAAATACTAGCCTATACACTAAAACAGACACATACACACACTAATATACCAATACACCCCCCACCCCACCCACTAATACAATAAAAGCACATACTAAATGGCGTATCCAGTACACAAAGGTCCCGTCATTACGGAATCTAGAAAGAGTTAAATATACGCAATCTTACCTTTGTAAATAGAGAGACTATTTTCACAATTAGAACCTGTGACCTCCAGGTCACAATGAAGCAACTTTACCGTTGCGCTAAGACCCACAAATACTAATACACCAAAATAAACATACACAAATATGCAAATACATCAAAACACATACATTAATACATTAAAAATACATACACACTAATACATCAAAACACTTAAACACACACATATGCACTATAATACACCTAAAAACACCAATATATAAATTCACCAAAATATACACATAAGAATACTAATACACCAAAGACACACATGCACTATTACATCAAAACACACACAAATACACCAAAAAACTCACACGAATAAACCAAAACACATTAATACACAAAAACTTTAGAATCCCAGATTGACTCTCTCTATCTCTCTTTCTCTCTCTCCCTTTAGAGTTTAGGATTTGGGATTTGGTATCTTAGCTTTGTGATGACCTTCAACTTATCACTCATTCCTCTATGAAAGGTCAAAGATATCAAAACACACTACAAAAAAGGTTAAAGCTACCAAATTTGCAATTATTAGATTCTCTAGAATATCAGTTGAAATATTTGAATTTTGTTTAGTATTCTCTTTGCAGTCATTCACATTTTAGTGTTAGACTATTAAAAGTTTAAAACTCTAAAAGTTTAAGCTATTAAAGGAATTGATGCAATATATACATCAAGCTCTTGACACACTCCCTCATGTGAGACTTCCATTCACGTGGATAGAGGCATAAAATCAAGTGCGTCAATATGATATACATATAACATAAACTTGGTGCATGAATACATTGATAGTGAGACTTGAACCCAAAACTTCAAGGTATTGTATATCAAATAGTGTAACTGACAAGCAATTATTCGTAAACTTAATATATTCAAGAATAAACCCTCAATATTCCACGGAAAAAAAACATGCAATGTATATCAAGCTAGAAACAATAAGATGAAACTTACCATGTGCGTGTTTTTCTCTTTGTTCAACACAACATTTGAAGCTATAATTCTTCGTCTCTAGAATGGAACAACTAGAGCAAACAAGAAACTTCACCACATGGGATGTCATATAGGGGATCATTTATGTTGTACTCTATATCAATCTTTCAAAAGTTTGCAGGGGAGGTAGTCCCTCGCACTATTGAATTATGATCCCTCATTGAAGGAGAACTAAAGATTGAAATGCTTATGTCATCTAATTTGTAGTGATTGTTTTGTTGTTGCAACTTGGAATATATATATGGAAAGCTAATATGTAAGAAAACTATAACCTAAGAAAATAATTAGCCCTTGAATGAAATGAAATTGAATAACCATATATGGAATGGTTATTACCATAAATCAAGATAATTGGGCACTAGGGCAAGAAAGCCTCATAATTGGGTAAGGATGAATGGAGCTAACCCAATACAGATCTCACCATAAGCCAAGCTTGGCTTTGCAAATTTCTATAAAACTCAAGCCCTTAACCCCATCCTACTAGGGCCGGGACATGCTAATTAATCGAGCCAATGAGCATATGTAAATGTTCCACAACTCTTATTTTTCTATTATTTGGTAAAAAAAAAAAAAGCATGCTATCAATGTGAAAAGCTCATGCAACAAATTGTCCTCAAATATTCAAAATCACCTTCACATTGTCGATAAAAGCTAAACGCCCATTTGGAGATATTGCTGCCATGGTGTTTTTTAGCTGATTTGTATCAACATTCCCCACAATCTTCCCAGTTTCCCATGCCAAAGTATGATACGGGTCCCTGAAAAATAAAAACATTGGCAATCCACTCAAAATGAACAAAAATACTTCAGAAAAATCTCAAGCACAAAACTTTTACATAGGAACCCATTTAATGCAAAAGAGAAGGTAAAAGGTTGCTAATTAAAGGGAGATAATAAGTTGCACCATGAAAAAACTACCAATTCAGTTGAGAACAAGTTCGGCTAAACAATTACCCTATCAATAACTAGATTTTTTATTGATGGGCGTTGACAAAGTGTCTTGTCAAATAAATTTGGGCATAGTTAGGAATAAAACCAATGGAGTAGAATCAATTAAATTTATTTTGAACTTGCATGGAAAAATAAAATTTCAGTCTTCTCTCGGTGATTCATAACCGAAAACTAAACGCACCACCAACACATTTATTTAATTAAGTTACAGAAGTTAAAAACAATATAACACAATGAATTCATATACCTTCTGAGCATGATGTGATGATTGTACTCCCATCAGCATTGCCATAAGTTGCTCTAGTTCCAACTAGAGTGATTATAGCGTTTTTATTGTGGACTTTATAATGCTGCCACCTAATTTCTGGAGAGGAAGCTTGGGCCAGAAGTTTTGTGCTTTTCTTCTCCATACATGTATAAAGAAGAACCATATAGAGCTTGGGAAGCCACGACTACAGAAGCTGTGGCATCAACAAACGCAACTGTTATCGGATAACCTACAGCAGGCAAATTAATTCTTAAAACTCTGCTGAAAATTCAATAGGTTAGAATTGTGAAATGGAGAAAAAACAAGGCATGGGCAAAATTGAGAAAGTAAATGGTCTGGCATCCAGGGAATATTTTTTCTTTAGGCATCAAGGGTAGTTGAAAAACATAATTAAAGCTTTTAATTGATGAGCTGTATGCCACAAAAAAAAAAAAACGAAGTATGAAAACCCTCTTTCAATCTCACAAGACACAAAGAAATCAAACCCAACACTGCCATCACCAACAATAGAAATCATGCTTACATAGCTGGGGAAAAATAAGCTAAAATTTCATTAAAATATCACAATTCAAGTCGCAACATTAAGCTCCAAGAAATAACATAATTTGTAGCTCTTGGGCACAGGGCAATACAGAGAACTAGCACAGAGTCATATTTTCAAAGATACAAGCAATAGCAGAGAATTCCCTTATTTTGAAAGATCAAATTTAGTGTCTAGGACCGCTTTTTTTTGTGTGTGGGAAATAGGCAGCAATCATTTAAACAAATAAAAATAAAGCAAGAAAAATAACACACATGAATATCCAAAGTACAACGATAAAAAATAATTGACATTGCTCATAGATAAAAGTGGTAGCATCAAAGTGAGTATATTGAACATTTTAATTTTCCGGTATGCAACACAACCACTTGGGGATCGATTGAGCAAGCAAAATACTCTGCTATTGAACAGCATTCAGATTTTACACAACATTAGTCCTGAAACAAATATGAGAGACAAAGAAATGGAACTTGCAAAATCGTGTGTGTTGTGTGTGTGTGTGAGAGAGAGAGAGAGAGATAGAGGGAGAGAGAACTTACAGAATTGAGGCACTAAATGCTTCTTTCTGAATGACAGAATCACAGAAACTAAGTGTGTTTCTGTGCTACAAAGCATATATTGCATCCAAAGTTACAAATCCAAACATGAGATGTGTGCAATTAACCCAATCTAAATTAGCATTTAGTTTTCAATTAACCCAGGTTATCATTCTGAGTGTATAGAATATGACCAAAAGAAGAAGAAATTCATTCCCACCTGACCTCCGTCCTCTAGATAAATTAGGATTGATCAAAGGCTAAGCCAACAGACAGAAAGGTTCACCTAAGAATAAAGTGCTGCATAGTAAAACTTCTAAATATCTTGGATGAACTGTTCTAAAAAAATAGAGTAGAGAGTGAATTTGACTATCCAAATGTAGAGAGTCATATTGGACTTTTTATTTTAGAGTCTAAATAAAGAGTCCATTGGGGAAGAAATTTTAAGGTTGACCCTCTATAATAGAGAATTGAGTGGGAATAGAGAGCCTATTGGAGATGCTCTTAGTGTATTTATCAGTGAAAAGTATTTGAATTCCAGGAACAGCATATTGACTCACGAACAACAGCAGAAATTAGACTAAAAGTATGTCCCCTGCTATCCCAACACTTCAATTGGCAACATCAATTAACACCTCTTGATATTTCTATACAAATTTCTTTTCATGACCCTACACCCAAAAAAAATGTGATTTAATTCTTGAAATTCATCCAACAAAACAAACAAAACTCATTCCATAAACAAGCATTTAAATCCTCCACATACTCCCAAATCACCCCTTCTCATGCACATCTTGCCATTTTACTTGGAATGAAGTGTTTAATAACTCTAACGCTTATTTGGAACCCAGACAAATCGATTCAAGTTATAGGGTGTGTCTAACAAACCAACAAACAAAAAAGTCAGTAACTCATTCCTCCCAATTACATAGAACATATGAATGGGAATTAGCCTTCATTTGATCTTTGTTTAAAAAAAAAAAAAAACCCTGATCTGTAATTAAAACAATCAAACAAGAAAACCAAATTATAAGATAATGTCAACTAGTTGAAGTTTTGAATATTTTTTTTCTAACAAAAGTGACCTTGCCACCTGAGGTGGCAGCATATTCGCAATTAAAGGGAAATTAAGATAACACAACCCAATTCAATTTAAACCTATGGGAAAATCCCTCACGCACTCACTCAGTTGTCAATGCCAGACAGAAATGTACGGCCAAGACAGACCCCCAGGGGGTGTCTAATCTGATAAAAATTTGATTTTTGGAACCCATTAAATCACAATAAGAGAAAATAAAAAATCGAACTGCAATAATCCATGCATGTCAAGCTACAACTTTTACCTTTAATAGTCTGGGAAAGCAAAATACTCTCGCATTCCCACTCAATGGTTACAGGACAAGATTGGTCCTTTGTGACTAGAACATCAGTCTTGAACTATAGTAACTTCACAAAATGAGAAAGAACTATGTTACAAAAAAATAGTAGTTGAATAGATGTGACTAATTGAATGGCTTCAAAGATAGATTTGGTTGAAGAAACACAAATGAAAGATGTGACAAAGTTAATTTGAGAAAACAACTATAAGGAACAATCTGACTAAACAAAGTTGATCTAAAAGCTATTCTATTATAACAAAATAAGAGCACACATACCACAGAGAAGATAAACAGAAAAAAAAAATTAAAATTTGAGCGAGTGAAAGAGGGAACTTACAGAATAGAGATGGGGAGCTTGCAGGATTGAGGTGCTAAATGCTTCTTTCAGAATGGCACAGACACAGGAACTAATAGTTCGGCTCTTTCTACAAAGCATACCCGAAATTGCAACTCCAAAAATAAAATTGTTCCAACTCATTCCTCTCATTAGAGAAAACATATGAACAACCTTGATCACTTTGATGCACCACATATTGAAGTTTTTTGTTTCAGGACTCACAACAAAACCTGACCTTGAGTTAAAGAAATCAAACAAAACAATCAACTAAAATATAATAACTAATTTCTTAAGAGTAAAATATGATAGAAATGGAAAAGACTTGATTCCAAGGAGCGTTTCGACCATTCTACCTGAGCTTGCTGCATATTGGCAACTGCAGATAAAAAAGAAAAAAATTTGAATTCAACTTGTGCACTTCAGAAACCCTTTCTGTCCAACCCTGAGTTGCCAATTTTTTCTCCTCCTGCACACAAAATGGCTGGGAAGGGGGAGAGGGCTTCTAAGCCGGCAGAAAATGAATTTTGGATCATCATAATAAATAAAGCATCAACAAAATGGTGATTCTCTGAAAGAATGAATTGCTATCTCCATGGGTGGTTTGAGCGAATGAATCAGTCTAATATAAATCAACTCTGGAACATTCAATCTGTGCTGTGAAACATTTATCTTGAACAACAATAACTTCAATAAACATGCAAGAAAGATGATATCAGCCACAAAAATTAATCTGAGTAGATGTGACCAGTTTATGAACAACTTCAAAGAAAGATTGATTTGAGGTTGATCTTGTTCAACAACAGAAAGAAAGATGTGATCATGTTAAATCCAAGTACAAAACTTTAGAGAACGGTGTTACTAAAGAAAGATGATTAAATTAAGATTGCATCACAACCATGGTTCAAGGCCCCAATATTGCCCGTCGACTCTAAAGGCATTGAGACACATCGGTCGAAACGTCGTAGCACAGTATCAGCTGATACTCACAAAATACTAGTTTGAAAGACTAAAAAAATTTTAAAAAATCATGAAAAATCTAAAAAGCATGCATCATTTGTCAAAATTACATCATCTAACACGTTAATTGTAGTGAAAATGATGTATAAAGTGCTACCAGAGACATATTAATAAAAAATAATATTAGCTGGACCTAATTTGGAATTTAATTTATGAACCTAATTCATTGTTGCCATAAAATTAATGGGCTCACAATCAATCTAATGGCCAGAATATATTAGATCCTGAAATTAAATTCTGAAACTAGGTCTAAGTTATATTATTGATTAGTCAAATTTATAAACATAATGAAATAAATTAATTGTTGTTGTAACTAACAAAAAAAAAATGGCCACATTATGCAATAATAATACCCACAAAAAAAAAGGAAAAAGGAAACATTATTTCCAAACCTAGAATTATAAAATTAGTAGAATAAACTATTATAACTCATAAATTTTAAAACTATTCTCTCTAAATCCTTTTTTGCCCTTTCTTTTGGTCAAATTCAAAGCTCCCGGGCCCAAAAAAAACTCAACTCTCTCTTCTGGCTCACTGACACAACTCTTTGGTCCACAGAGAGGGCTGGCAGCGAGAGAGAGAGAAAGACAGAGAACAGGAGGTCCTGTGTTCTGATACCATGTCCTGTCTTTCTCATAGCTCTTTCACCATACTTGACAGTTAAATAAAGCATCAACTCAAACCTTAAATTCTTGGTTGGGACTTTGCTTTTTGAGTCAAACTCTCCAATTATGCCTTTTGGTCCGAGAAGGCAACCTGATCAGATGGCACAGCTTTGCTTCCCAAAATTGCAAGAGCTGCTTCTCTTGCTGTGCCAGATAAAACTTGCGACAGCAACAGACCTGGAGAAAGAAATTGAAGAGAATCAAACTATATGATAATGTGAACCAGTTTTATTCTCATCAAAGATTTGTACATATTATGACAACGCTTGCAAATTCCTGAGTTCACGAGGCTTTTTGACATCAGTGCCTGAGCTTGCAGCTATTAGCAACCGAAGGTAAACAAGATAAAACAATCCAAATCAACTTATGCCCCTGGGAAACCTACACTATCCAACCCTGAGTTGCCAATTATGTCTTTGGCCAAAATGACAGCACATGGACATAGAGAGAGCTCTTCTAACCCGGCAAAATATTAAGTTTAGATAATCTTAAACCACAACCTAAAGAGGAAAAAAAAAACAGAATTGATACAGTTAGTTTTGACATAGGAAGAACATATCTTTGAAAGAATGTATCACTCTTACCATGGATGAGTTTCATTGGCTTGGATATAAATCAACACAGTAATCTTCAGACAATAATGTGAAGCTTTATCTTTAACAGCTATAATTTCAAGGAACCAGAAAGAAAGGCGTGACCCAAGTTGAGTAGATGTCACTAGCTTATGAACAGCTTCAAAGAAGATCCCTTTGGAATTGATATTGTTCAAGAACAAGAAAGAACGATATGATCGTGCTAATTCCAAGTAAAAAGACGTTACCAGAGAAATATACCAACCTCCTTCAAAAAATGTCTTTTATTTGTGAAACTCATCTCTGCATATCACAAACATTTCTGGTTGGTGGCTAAACTGTTGGCTGCGGCATCACCTTCTCTTGGAAAACCTCTCTGATCTTTCCTTTTGGTAAACAAGCTCAGTAAACACTACAACAAGAAGAAGCAATCAGTTTACTGTTGGACAATCGAGGTAAGGCAACAGGAAATAACTTCTAGCCAATATTGAACCAATGGCAAATCAATGCCTCTTAGATCGCTGTGTAACATTATTCCTGTAGTCTTAAACAAAACCTGTGCATTACAGCGGAAGCATGTGTTTGGTAGAGCAAAAGTGGAATAACTATCATACATATAACGGATGAAACTAGACTTAGCTTTGAGAAAATAAGGACATTTTTGGATGGGGAGATGTAGGTCGGATCAACCCTTTATGAAAAAACAGCATTTGACACATAAATTGATGTCCTAGTCCAGGATTATGTAACAGTTAAAGCAAGGTCTGATCACTTAACGACTAAAACCAAAACCAAAAAAACACAAAAACTAAAAGGGGAATGTGAAGAAGAGAAAGAAAGAAGAAAGCAACGTGTTACCAGGATGGTCAAATTTTGTGTTTTGGGTGCTCTGTCATTACAATTGAAAACTGGCAAGTAGTTTTTATAAATATGAGATGGTTGTTTTTCAAACCATGATTATGCTCCAAGTTTAGTGTACATACCCATCACAATGTCATTTCAAGTCATAGATTGACTTTCAGCTAACAAAAGAATGGTAACATTCCTTCCAATTACAGATGAGAACATATTCCAACCTTCAGTTTGATCTTTGTTTCAACAAAGCACCTAAACTGTATTTAAAGACAAACAAGACAATCAAGTTATTTGATTACATGAATCACCTGTGGATTTGAACACATCAAAGATACAAGTAATTATGATAAAGAACCATTTGCCTTCCTACCTGAATGTTGCAGCATATTGGCAACTGAATGGACACTAAAACTCTCTCTCGCGCTCTCTGAGTTGACAATTATGTCCACATAGACAGAAGACAGCAACGCAGAAAGAGAGGGAAGGGGCTTCTAACCTAGCAAACAATTGATTCTGCATCATGTTAAATCCCAATATCCAAGAGTAGAGAAAGAATGCAATTGAAATAATTCATGCATGGCACAATTAGTACTTTTAACTTCAATTCCATGCACAAGTTTGAGCGAGCAAAATACTCTCCCATTGAACATCATTCAGATTTTACACAATAACATTAATCTTGAAACAATTATAACTTCACGAAACGAAAGAACGATGTGATCCAAAAAAATAGTTGAATGGATATGCTAATTGCATGACTTAAAATAAAAATCAAGTTCAATATTGCCAACGATTTATCAAGAATAAAAGAGGTAATCAAGTTGACTCAAGTACACACAACACAACTACGAGGAAAAATCTGACTAAACAAAGTTGATTGGGCATTGAACAAAGATGTCATATAACAAAATAAGAACAAGTAAAACACAATGTAGATAAACAGAAAAATATGAGAGAGACAGAGAGAAAGGGAACTTACAAAATTATGAGAGAGAGAGAGAGAGAGAACTTACAGAATTGAAAGCCCAAAGAAATTCATGGAAGAGAAGGCTACTAACTAACCGTGAAATCATGAGAAGCCTAATAACTTCGAGAGTCCTGATTTCTTGTATTTTGTTCTCTCCAGCTATCTCAAAACTTCTATCTGTGGTGGTTATTAACATATCTAGGCTTTGATTCACAACATATTGAAGTATCTACAGAAGCTGACCAAGAGTTAAAGAAATTAAACCAGACAATCAAAATCAAACAAGACAATCTGAACAAGTCGCGGTGTTAAATCTTTTTTCTCATCGACAATTTGCCATTCCCTCTTATCAATTAACTGCAATTCTTATATTGGGAAGGAGAGTAAGTTCTACTGAAGGGTTGTAGTTGTTTGTTATCAGAAACAAGATTCTCAATTCATGAGAAAGAAAAAAGTACAAAATGTTGAATAAGACATCTACCAAATGGAAAGGGAAAAAAGATAATGCAATGAAGGTCTTATGATTACAGATGACATTCCAATTCTGTTGTAATAACGATTAACGAGAGAGGACATCAGAAATTCCTTTGCTAGAAGAAGTGAAGATTTATGGCCCCTAGTCCAACTACCACACATAAATCCATCCTGAATTCATCATGTAGACGCAGAAGTATATGGTAATTGGTAAGTCAGCAGACTCGGCACAATTTATGTAACTACCTGCATGAATCATCTGGTTGATGGCATAACAGAAAGTAGATTTGGCTATAACCTTTTCCACGTTGCTACTACTACTCAAGTCAGAGTACTCCTCTAAGAAGTCTATCACCATATGAAAACCAACATTCCAAAACAGAAAATTAAACTTACTGAAAATTTTCAGCAATATATGGACAAACATCCAACACAAGAATCAACATAATTGATTACAGATGGGGAGTTACCAGAACCTGAAAAGAGGTGAATGTGATCAATACTTGTCAATGCAGCCAGATTTGATGTTGTGGAAATGATCATACGCTGACAATAAATCCTTCTGTTTTATTTCCACCATATAAGATGGGACCTTGTAGATTTCAAATTCTCCACCATTGTATCTATCCACTCTTGGAGGGATAATTCTACCGAAATGAATCTAGAGCAAAGATGAAGATTAATCACAATCAAAACAGAATACCAGAATCAAGGGAATCATGAAATCTAAACAGATTTTACCTAGGATTTTTGCCATATTGGTAACCTCCTAGAATTTATTTGCACCTCAACATTTGACAGATACAAGTGGGATCTCTCAGGGAGCTTTACTGAATCAGATTTATCTCCAGAAACTTTGTTCTCTCCAGCTTCTTGAGCATCAAAAGTAGTCTCTGAAAAACATTCCTTTCTCTCTCTCTAGACAATCTGATCTTCTACACACATCCCACCATTGAACAGGTTCAACTTTCACCCTTACTCCTCATCTTGCCAATGTACATATGAGCCAGACTGAGTTGCTAGATCACTCTCATTTAGCTCTGCCTCAATTGATAGCAGAAGCTCAGGTTTAATCAAATAGCCTGATGGAGTATAAACTAACAAATGCTCCAAGGAATTAACCTCCAAGTGAACATCCTGCAAGCCACAAGATACGGAACTGTGAAAAATCAGCTGCACCAGCACAAGATGGCAGATTAACCTTTCCTTCTACGGAAGTGGCAGTATTGCTAACTGAATAAGCAGTCCCAAGGCATTATTCTTTATCCGGCTTACCACATAAAAGGTAACAGGGTGCCGAGGTGAAGAAGATTGCTGGTTTAGGATGAAAGATGAAGTAGACTGCCATGGTAGAGATACAATGGGATACGGGAATAGACATTTGCCAAGAGAAACAAGAGTTTGAAAGCTGGCATTGTCACCAAAGGGGGATAGAGCAAAAAAGTGGCAAGTCCCTTTGGATAGTATAATAGCAATCCACTGATAGTAATGACAGAAGCCAAAGTCTTGGATGATCTGCCAAATAAAACTCAGTAATCCGAACAATATTGCACAAACTTAGACCATTTGCAAAGGAAGATAAGAAAATAATGAATACTGAGAAAAGGATGTATACTAACAGCTGTTGTCATTCCACAATAGAAATTATAAAGATGCACATGAGAAGAGCACAGTCATAGGTTTGAGTGCCTGCATATTATGCATCCAAGATGGTATGATCCAGAAAATATTTATGCTATTTCCATGCACTGAAGCAGGCACAGAAGAGTGCCACTTTGATCGAAACATAATGCTGATATCTGAGTGGTATTACAGCTCTAAATTGTGATATTACAGCTCCAGAATCAACAACCTTAACAAAAATATGCATTCAACCATCATAACAAGAAAAACATAACATCTAAAAAGACAAAGATATAGTGTTTTTTCAGCTGAGGCATGAAAATCTATGTATACATCTACTACTTTTCAACCTTATAACTGTCAACCATAAATTTCACTTCTTTTTTCTTGTTAAATTTTGACTTCATTCAATCAACAATTAAACATAAACCCTTTGTTTGTTTCAATAGACGCCAAATAAGGAAATGACTTTTAGCCTCCGCCATTGGTATTTCCAGCATATTACCGTGAATAAATGCTAATCACCCTGTATTAAAGACTTGCACAACATGAAATATAAACTCAACATAAAAAGGTTAAAGGTGCCATCCATCTTACAAGAAGGAAGTTATTTTTATGCATGTAGCAAGGCAAAGCAATCATGGCATTCTAACTCCATTAAAAATCAAATTTTCCAAAAATAAAACAAGTACAATAAAAACATCTAGGCAGAACTTTTGATAACAATTTATAAGCATTGTAAAATTACCTGCGTTTATCATAGGTTCAATGGGAAAGCTCTGCCCAGCCTTCATAACACCAACAACTTTATTTCCTGATAAGGTTAAGGTCATACAAAGAGGACGAAGGAAAAATACAGAGTGGATAAGAAGATATTGAAATTGTAATATCACGAAATATGAGTCAGTTCACCCTATACTTTGCATTCCTCATTTTGTTCATAGACAGATTTTTAATGCAAATGAATATTCAAATGGAAAAACTGCTTCTTTAAGGATACTTGCATAATGAGGAATGGTTGGTACGCAATGGAAGAGTTCTCCGATACCATGACCACGATAAGACTTCACTTATCTACAGAAGACAAGGAAAGAAAGAAGGGTTAAGAACCTGTCATCTTCCCATTTGGAATAAAGAATAAGAGAAACAACCAATACCCAAGATTCCAGGTTACCATAGAGAACCCCGACATTGAAGGATGTCGAGTAATGACTTCCCCAATTTCCTAAAATCTACCCTCAAGTTTAATGAAAAAGACAATGCATTATGTCAGAATGAAAGAATCTGAATGCCTTAGTTTAGGAAACATTGCAACATACAAGGAAATTAGTTGGAAGTAATGAAAGTCTAAACAGAAATAAAAGAAAATGTGCAAATTTATATTAGAACTTCACGCTTTATTATTCAAGAATCGAGAACAGGATGAGAATTCTTTCCAACAGGTTTGAGATACATATTCTCAACTATAAAAATACGCTAATACTGCCGAGATTGATATGGGTCATCCAAAACTTTAGGTAGTTAGGTTTTTCACACAGCCATCAAGTTCACTTTGGTGATAAGCGTGGTCCATCCTAGTTTTCTCCAAGTCTTCACCTTCAAGATAGGTAATCAAGGAATAAACCTTGGTTCTTGGGGAATTTTCACAAAATTCCAGACTGTGTTACCAACATTGCATAATTTATATCCAAGGGAAGCTTTTCCATGGTTTTGGATTGACTATCACAAGGAGACTATGTGCTTGACATATTAGTCCTTTGGTGAGACTCGTGTTTTTCCTTGGAAACAGAGTTCTCCTGAGTGTCAATAGCAAAAATAAAGATTTAAATCCGGTACGAGAGGAATTCTTAATTTGATGCAACTTTGGAGGTAATTGTTATTTTTTCATTATTCGTGTCTTTGTTGAAGACTTCTTCTCAACTCTACTTTTGTTTTAGTGCATATCCAAGAGATCCTAGATTAGACAATGATGAAAACTATGCATGCAACTTATAAGAAGACAAATGCACTTCACGCTAATTTGATTTCAAAAGGAAAATATTAATGAGTAACTTATGCGGCAAGTGTCTCTCATTCTCTCAATTTGATCCCAAGTTTTCACCTTCAAAAGACACGTGAATTTGAAAAGAAACATAAATAAAAATATTGAAACGAAAAAATACTTCGAAGATGAACATGTTCTCATGCAATAGTTAGGAATTCTTGACAATATCGAGCTGGAACAACCTGTTGTTCGTGAATACCCTGATTCAAGGCCAAAGAATTTGTTGCCGCTACTATAGTATTCATTTCTACGGGGTGATAAATAAAGCACCCGTATTGAGGTCATATCCATCTATCCAATGCCAAAATTATCCACTTTTATATCAATGGAAAAATTATCATTCCTTTCTGATCAAAGGTAACCTCAACAACATGTTGCAGATTACTAATGGACTCTATATCCAAGATTCCCTAAAAGGTTAAACACATAAAGAAAATACTGTTACAAGAAGAAAAGACATCAGAAAATATAGAAGAAACTTCAATAGAAACAAGGAAGGTATGGACACAGTAGTATGAAACATCTACGAAAATGGAATATTAAAATTAGTTGTCCACCCAATAGCATAAGTCGAGTATACCCATGATGATTGACAATTGAGTGCATAACCACAAACTAAAGTGAACATATGTACCAGACACGAGCTGCTTATAGACCAACGTCAAAACAAGAAGCACATAAGCTGGGCCTTCACATCCAAACAGAAAGGGGTTAGTAACTCACATCAACTGCCCAGTTAGGTTGTTCAATATTGATCATTTATTGTACACTTTTTTGATATAGGATACGGCCTCAGTGTCCTGTGCAAGAATAAAAAGCAGTTAGCATTTAAAGACAATATATATAGCTGAAGCTAAGTAATAAGCATAGAAGATTAGTGCATTTAAGAAAACACACATCCAGACTTTGAGTCAATTGTTGGTCTCATGGACCATATAAAAATGAAGAAGAAAACAAAAAATACCAATCAGGCACGTAAAAAAATTATCATCGGCAAGCAGAGAAAGTTACTGCTCAATAAACATCAGGATCAAAATGTTAAAGCCAGAGGGATTTATTAGCATCTCTGAGTTGCCAATTATTTCTGCATAGACAGAAGACAGCAACTCAGAAAGAGAGGGAAGGGACTGCTAAGCTGCAAAAAATTGATTCTGCATCATGTTAAATCCCAATATCCAAGAGTAGAGAAATAATGCAATTGAAATAATTCATGCATCATCTTATGTTAAAAAAAACTAATTCATGCATATATGTTTCATGCATCATCTTATGTAAAAAGAAACTAATTCATGCATGCCACAATTAGAACTTTGAACTTTAATTCCATGCACAAGTTTGAGCGAGCAAAACACTCTCCTATTGAACAGCATTAAACAACTATAACTTCAAGAAACGAAAGAACGACGTGACCCAAAAAAATAGTTGACTGGATGTGATAATTGAATGACTTAAAATAAAGATACGTTGGTGACCAAAAAAAAAAATAGAGATCGGTTGAGTTCAATATTGCTGACGATTTATCAAGAACAAAAGAGGTAATCAAGTTGACTCAAGTACACACAACTACGAGGAACAATCTGACTAAACAAAGTTGATTGAGCATTGAACAAAGATGTCATATAACAAAATAAGAACAAGTAAAACACCAAGTAGATAAACAGAAAAATATGAGAGAGACAAAGAAAGGGAAC